TCACGCGCACAGACCAGCTCCGGCGGGTCACGTGATCATCTAGCAGCGCCGTGTCGCAAAAACCACCCGCAGCGCCGTCCCCCACGCGACGCTCACCGCACGAGTGAACGACACGTCCAACTCAAACTGCACGGCGTGGTAATGCTCCAGACCGACTGGATCTGACTCAGGTCAGCAGACGGCGGCAGGAGGGAGGGGGGAGGGGACTCTGGCCACCGGTTGGGACAGCGGCAGGAGGGGGGGGGGGGGCGACTCCGGTGGCCGGCGAGGACGGCGGCAGGAAGGGGGGGGGGGCAGACTCCGGCAGCCGGCTAGGACAGCGGCAGGGGGAGGGACGGACCCTGGCGGCCGGTGACGACTGCGGCAGACCAGACCGGCCCGGCGCGAGCAGACTATCGGGCAGGGTTGACCGGGCCGGCCGGGGAGACAGCCCGGGGGCGGGACGGCCGCGGCCGCCGGGTCGGGATACAGTCCGCACCCATCCCGCGCGCCATTCCCATTCTCCACGAGTCATGCTCTGGTCTGGTGACGCGTCGAGTGCTGCTGTCGGGCTTGGCGCCTGCTGATTGTTAAAGTTGTCGATTCGGCCGTCATTACCATAGCAGGCAAGCCAATGCAGATCGCGCTTAAACATGTCAGTCAGGATACGGGCGACTGAGGACGACCATCTTTTTGCGCCGCCGTAGAGGATTGTACGTTGCGAAAGACGCCGTAAAAACGGTGCGTGAGTGCGACCCGGTCATAGTCGATCGCGCTGGCTGTTGAGTGGCAATGCTTTCGACAAAATCTGGCCGTTGCTCTCGTGCAGGAATTCAGTCAACAATAATACTGGGCTTTTTCGCGGCTGAGGCAGATGGGCGACTGACATTTGCGTGAAATATAGGTGAAGGCCTCGGAGTTTTTTATCCACCGGTGCGAACGAACCGTCTGGCACAAGCCGGTCCGTTGCGCGAACGGCGGTGACCGGCGCGTGCACACCTCATGCCATCGTCTCCTCGGACAGACTCCCTGGTGAGAGGGAAGTCGGACGATAATCTTCGGAGTCAACTGGCAGGGGAAAAGCATGCACCCGAAACACCTTTACCTGTCGTGACCGCTTCATCGCGTTGCGGCAAGAAACGCGATGAAATATCTTTGTATATTAACTTAACTTTATACATATATATTTATTATATATAAATGTATTTATATATATATATATATATTATTATATATAATATATATATATATATAAAGTTAGAAACGATTACAACATTTTGTCTCAACAGGACCATGTCAATAATTTCGTCAATAATGGGTTGGTGTGCTTGTACTTAATCACGTACAGTTTCTGGTGTCCACTTGGAGACCAGACTTTGTGATACAGTGATGCTAAGGGCGCTCAGGACTTTTCCGACGTTCCACCACAACGGTGGATAGGACAACGATGCATTCTTAGAGCTCCGTTCCGTAATGTGAGTGAGAAATCAAGTCAACTTGCGTGGACGCTTGCCGCTTATCATGCCCGCTTTTTCCCCCGTATGCCGCCACGGTCATGATGCAATTATTGCGCAATGGAAAAGGAACACATGAGACGAGGCGAAAACCCGGCTTCGCTTTGACAAGCATCCCTTTGGCCTTCAACAGGCTGTAGGTGAAGTGTGACGAACTATATTTGAGTATGTGCGTATATATATATGTTGGAAAATTTTGACGGAATTCTTTCTTTGATGCATGTTTGATTAAAAATAACTGCTGACTCAGCATTGACGGGCTTTTTGATGCATCGTTCTAGTTTCCGGGCCTTTGACTTGGCGGCATCGCTTAGATTAAAGATGGTTCGCACAAAATTACTCATATGTTCATCACTCCTTCCATTCTAAGGTTTCGAAATCTTATCTTATCTTCGGAGAAGGCTAAATTGCACAAGAAATAAGTTCGGAGTTTTGAAGGATGAAAAATTGTGCACTACTGTTGGAAAACATATTTTGGTATGGAGAACATAAATGAAGCATAACTAACTGAAGTAAGACAGATTGCTATTTTCATTTTCATACATGTAAGAAACACTCATAATGGGAACATTACAAAGACACAATGGGAACACTACTGTCACAATCACATCAGAAGTGCGCACCGCCCACCACCTAGTAGTTGAAGAGTTCTACAAGAATTTGTCTGTCTGTTTAAGGCCGGAGAGAGTTCGTTAATGGATATGCTTTCCCAAATTTGAAGGCGTCTCCTGTCACTGCACGTCCGTAAAATGTCAGTGCTGTCTGCCAGTTGTTGTCGTGTCAATGTCATGTCGCGTTCCTGTCGCATGTGGTCCAGAGGTGCCCCGTCACGTAAGTGCATTGTCAGTCGTCGTGAGAGTGTCGTTGTGGTCACACCAATGTAGTGTATGGGACGAAGTTTGCAGCCTTCGATGTTGCATTGAAACTGATACACTACATTGGTGCATTTTAGTTTGCCGGGTTTGTCTGGGCTGTTTCTCATAAGAAAGTTCGATATTTTCTTATTACAATAGTATATGACAATGTCTATTTTGTGGTCGTTTCTGCCTTTAACATGTTGAGAGATAATTTCCCGTAAAGCTTTTTCGTCCTGTTTGTGGGCATATGTCATTTGATTTTGATAATACAGTTTGACGGTCGGTTGGATGTCTTGCCTTGGTTTGCCTCCAAAGTGTCCTGTCATATGTCGTGTCTCGTTTTCAATGTCAGAATTTGAAAAACCGTTGTTCACCAAGATCTGTCTGATTCGTGTCAATTCTGAATGTAGTCCTGTCCAATCAGAGCAGTGCTTAAATGCTCGTCTAAGAAAGGACCTTATGACGCTAATTTTGTAGCGTCGAGGACACTCACTGTGAGCATTTAAGCACCGTCCGTTGTTAGTCTGTTGTCGGTATACGGTCGTTTTGAATTGTTGTCCTTGATGTTTGCAGACGTTAGTTTTTGTCCCTGACGTTTTGCATGAGGGACCGATATATATATATATATATATATATATTATATATATATATTATATATATATATATATATGTGTGTGTGTGTGTGTGTGTGTGTGTGTGTGTGTGTGTGTGTGTGTGTGTGTTTGTGTGTATATATCTAGGTCATATATGTATATATATATATATATATATATATATATATATATATATATATATATATATATATATATATATATTGGTATTGATGACGATTTAAGGTATTGAAGTGATTGTTGCAACACATGTGCGCAATATCAATAGGCACGATGTCTTCATATTGCGCAACCGCGACACGCCAATCATTTTCATACCTAAGTTGGTCGCTGGACTGCGTCGCACAGAAGATAAGACAATGGCTATTCGCGATTCCATGTTTCTGGCGTTTTCTACGCAAGGCAACAACACTCGTAATGGGTGTCTCAGCGGCCCAGGTAGGCTGACGAGTGGCAACAGCTGACTCCACGGAGAGCGTCCCGAGTCGACCGGCCGCTCGGCGCCGAGGGACCGCCCAGAGATCGCCCAAGGGCCAAGGAACCGCCCAGAGATCGCCCATGGGCCGAGGGACCGCCCAGAGATCGCCCAAGGGCCAAGGGACCGCCCAGAGATCACCCAGGGGCCGAGGGACCGCCCAGAGATCGCCCAGGGGCCGAGGGACCACCGCAGCGAGGAGCGTGGGCGGCCACCGATGGCTGAGGGGTCGGGAGGGCCACCAGTGACTGGCTGCCGGGCCCCCACCGATGGATCCACGGCAGTCTGCCCCGGCAGATACAGATACAGACGGTGTGAAGTCTACCCCCAGCTGGCGAATTGCTGTTGCAGTCCCTCTAAAAATGGAGCGATAGAAATGCGTCATGTTCAGCGAAAACGCCCGTCCGCAGTCGGGTCGTACCCTGCAGGATGATAGGTGGCAATGCAATGCCATGCCAATCTTTTCGTGATATGTCCGCGGTCATTGCCATTCAGACCAAGGATGGCCAGTACAGAAGCCTTCAGTGCACTGGTGGTGAACCCTAGCGTCTGACGTGTAAACAACGCGAAGTCAGTGCTGTAGTAACGCAGTATTAATGAGGGGTTATTTTGAGGTGCGGTAGATGGTATGCCCAGCGTTCCATAGCTGTCAGCTCATGCTCACCTTCAATGTCAAGTAAATGGAGAGACGGCTTCCGACAACTCAGGCACGATTTGAGTTTGTAGTAGGTCTCGTGTTTGTGAAGGAGTGCGGAATCAGACTGGGGCATGGATCCCGCAGTATATTTATGACGCCTCGCCATGTGAAAAAGTAGCTAGCTGTCATCATAGCGTGCGAAGCCCCGTTGGTAGCCTGTTCAATGCGTCGGTTCGTGTTGGGAAGCACGGTGGAAGCCCGTTCAACGCATCGACTCGTGTTGGGAACCACCGGTGGTAGCCTATTACAGACATCGGCGTCGCTGAAGCAGTCGTCACGTTCCTACGCTTGTTGTCGCTCCTGGTCGCTGCAGCCGACCGCATTGTGCGGTGTTGGTCGTGAATTGTTCCTGACTTTCTGCAATGGCCGGCAGCGGCGAGTGCCACGGACTTTCGGCCTCGGCCGAGCTCAGGTGGTGCCGGCCAGGATGAGGATCTTACCACGGATTCTTTCGAGTGTCATGTTTCATTTTCACATCACGTATAAAAGTGGTCGGCTTCATTGGTCTATGCAGACCCCTGGAATTGGACATCGGCGACTTCTCCGCAGACTGTCGCGCTGGTTACGCCTCTGCCGACTGGGTACCCCGACCGCCTCAGCCATTCTCCCGGCTGAGAGGCGCGAGCATGGATCCGTGCTCTTCTGTGACGTCAGCATGACGTATCTTTCTGCCGTCCAGCCAAGCAGTGGCGGCTCCTGCCGGCGAATAGCCGCACAGCTGACGGGAGTGACGTCACAGTGACGTCACCGGTCCAGCGGAGACTGTCGTCCGCTCAAGGTCGTCGGAGCGGTGAGGCAACGGAGCCAGCTGGCGCACTGGGACGGACCGGTTGTGGCCCTCCCCCTCACCTCTCTCCCAGGGCGGATGAGCGGCCGCGTGTTGCCACCGGGGCAGTGGTTGGCGCCAGGTGTGCGGGGGCGGCTGGCGGCACGTGGTGGGACCCGGCACGGCCATGGCGGGCGACCTGCAGGCAAGACGCAGGAAGATCAGAGAGAGGGTTAAAGGTGAGTTGAGGGCGTGTCGCCTGAGGCAGCGCGTGAGTGGTTCGCCCTTCGACCTGGGCCAGGCTCGGAGAGCTGCCTCTTTGCGCAATAATTGCATCATGGTTGTCGCTGTATGCCGGCGACGCAAAAAGCCATGTTAAACGGCAAGCCTCCACGCAGGTTGACTTGATTTCTACTCACATTACGGAACAGAGCTATGCGAATGTATCGCTGCTCTATGCACCATTGCGGTGGGACGTCGGAAAAATCCTGAGCGCCCTTAGCATCACTGTATCACAAAGTCTGGTCTCCAAGTGGACACCAGAAACTTTACGTGCTTAAGTGCGAGCACACCAACCCATTATTGACGACATTATTGGCATGGCCCTGTTGAGACAAATTGTCGTCATCGTTTCTAACACTTACTGCAACGCGATGAAGCGGTCACCACAAGTAAAGTTGCTTCGGGTGCATGCTTTTCCCCTGCCAGTTGACTCCGAAGATTATCGTCCGACTCCCCTCTCACCTGGGAGTCTGTCCGAGGAGACGATGTCATGAGGTGTGCACGCGCCGCTCACAACCGTTCGCCTAGCGGACCGGCTTGTGCCAGAGGGCTCGTTCGCACCAGTGGGTAAAAAACTCCGTGGCCTTCACCTATATCTCACGCGAACGTCAGGCGCGCATCTGCCTCAGCTATGAAAAAGCCCAGTGATTATTGTTGATTTAACTCATGCACGAGAGCAACGGCCAGATTTTGTCGAAGGCATTGTGACTCAACATTTAGCGCGATCGACTACGATCGGGTCGTACCCACGCACCCTTTTTACGGCGTCTCTTGCGTCGCACAGTCCCTCCACGGCGGCGCAAAAAGATGATCTTCCTCAGTCGCCCGTATCCTGACTGACATGTTTAAGCGCGGTCTGTATTGGCTGGCTTGCTTGCTGTGGTAATGACGGCCGAATCGACAATTTTAAACATCAGCAGGCGCCAAGCCCGGCCGCCTGAGTCGGTCCCCCCCCCTCCTGCCACCGTCCTAGCCGGCCACCGGAGTCGCCCCCCCCCCCTCCCCCTCCCTCCTGCCGTCATCCTGGCCGGCCGCCGGAGGCCGCTCCCCCCTCTCACTCCTGCCGCCGTCCTGGCCGGCCGCCCGAGTCCGCCCCCCCCCCCCTCCCTCCTGCCGCCGTCTGCTGACCTGAGTCAGATCCAGTCGGTCTGGAGCATTACCACGCCGTGCAGTTTGAGTTGGACGTGTCGTTCACCCGTGTGGTAGCGCGCGCGGGGGATGGCGCTGCAGGTGGTTTTTGCGACACGTCGCCGGCGAATCGTGACTCCACGCCGCTGCTAGATGATCACGTGACCCACCGGAGCTGGTCTGGGCGCGTGAGCCCTCGTCTGGGGCCGAGATGGTCAATAGGGGCCTGCTCTAAGGGGGTAGTTCGTCATTGGGTCACACGGTCACCTGCCCCTGAGCGGTCAGGTGATGACATAGCCTCTCCCGAGGCTGCCAGGGCCCCCTCCTCATTGGCTAGCAACCCAAGCTCCGCACATCGATGTGGCATCACAGATACACGCCAGTGAAGAACGCCTTTAATTACAAATGTGGGCACAAGAAACATGAACTGATTCAACCACATGAAGGCATACAGTGCGCAGGGATAACGCACTTAAGTATCGTTCCATTGCATCTGTGACTTAAGACATACATTACCGATCGCACTTTCCACATGAGATCGAGACCTGCCTATATGCCGGCCGCGCAGGACCGTCAACAGCGCGCCGACCTGGTCTATGCGTTGCTAGGTCAGCACCGACGACTTACTTGCAAACAAACGTACTTCGCTTCTCGGCCGGCTTTGGGCTGCCATTGAATTTGGGCTGCTGATGAAAACGGGGCTCTAGTAGCTATTTGGGAGCTCGTCGAGAGGGGCGGGATGGTCGCGTGGCCACCCCTTGACAGGTCGGGTGGTCACGTGTTTTCCGCTCGCGGGGGTCACGTGGCCCGTATCCGTGCGTATCTCGGCGGCCACGTGACATACGTCCGGTCGCGTCAGCTGGTTACACACATGACCGGCGATGGCTATGTAACCCTCCACCTACAGAAATCACCGCCCTGCTGCCAGGACGGCTTGGCAGTTGGATTGTGGACAGACCGGTCACTATGTCACCAGCCATGTCCTCTGGCCTCTGCAGGTCCCCTTCGGCGGAAGGGATCACCGGTCTGTGGTGTCTAATGCCACGTGCTGAGGGCTGCAGCCTCAAGATCAAGCTGGTCTGCGCCCAATGTGAGCTTGCGCGTGAAACGTATGGCTGAACATCCACACAATGGAGCTGTGTGAGTCATTTGGGTCCATGTGGGTGCTCAGAGCTCTCAGAATGGCGTTCAGCTTAAGGGCAACCTCGATTTTCGCAGACATTGCAAGTCGATAGACAGACACGAAGGTCGCAGAGATTACAACTTGATCCTGCCAGGTCAATCTTGTGATGTCTGCGTGTCCTCGCAGCGAGTTTGAAAGCCCCGAGTCGAATTCAGATTTCCAGCCATCGTCTGTCACGGCTAGAGCCTCTCAAAAAGCCATTGAGCTTTTCATACGGTCTAGAGAGCTCCGGTCATCAGAAAGTCCCCGGTGACGTCCCCGCCCCCCCCCCCCGGTGCCCCCCCCCCGGTGCCCCCCCCCCCCCGGTGCCCCCCCCCCCGGTGATGCCCCGTGATATGTAGCGGCCACTGGGCCGCCGAATGAGCTCAGAACGTCACAAAGCCCTCTGTAAGGACAATGGTGTTGCCCCTGGACATGGCCCAGGTGTGTCTCAATGTGGTGGATGTGTCCACGAGACGGCTCGTGGTCCCGTGAAGGAGGGGGAGACGGGGAGACGGTCTGCACCGTCTCCCGTCACCTTGCCACCTCAGGGATCACGAGGCGGCCCAGTGTCCCGAACCGAAATAACATAAAGGAATAAGAGGGGTTGAGTATTCAAACATAATCAAGAGTCAGGCTACCAACTTCTGGCGTTGGCTGGGCTCGAGGCTCGTGAGCGCGCCCACCAACCTGGAAGCGTTTTGGACCTCCCGAGTGGCCGTTCATAAGGGCTGAGACGGCCCAAATTTGTTGGCACGGTCAGGCACGCTTGCGGTGATGACGGCGTCCAAGGAGCCCCGATACGGCCTGCGCGACCCCATCAGGCGTCCATGGAGCCCTTAGGCGGCCTGTGTGACCCCATCAGGCGTCCAAGGAGCCCTGATACAACCTGCGTGACCCCATCAGGCGTCCATGGAGCCCTGATACGGCCCGGGTGACCCCATCAGGCGTCCAAGGAGCCCGAGACGGCCCGGGTGACCCCATCAGGCGTCCATGGAGCCCTGATACGGCCCGGGTGACCCCATCAGGCGTCCATAGAGCCCCGAGTCTTCAGGGTCACCGTGTGCGTGGTTAGACGCCGGAACCAGGTGACTTCACAGCTCAAAAATTACAGACCTTCAAATGGCGAAGGAACTGGGCCTTTCCAAACATCGGTTTTCAGTTATGTTCTGAAAGTTGCGTCATAACCATTTAAGAATAGAACGTTAAGACATGTTTGGACACACATCGTGTGCGCTAGAGTCACGGTGACCAGCGGTCTGTGCCAGACCTCTCAGCGTGGTCTCAGTGTGGTCTCTACGTGTTGTTCGGAAGGCGGGTAGTTTGGAGAGAGGTACTGAAGACGAGCATTTTGGTTTTCAGGGTCGATATCCGAGGCTCTTGCTAAGTATAAGGCTTTCGATCTACATTGGCGCTTAATGGCTAGATTTGCAACTTGTCGCAAGCGCATACTTTACAAAAATTTAGTTTTTTTCTTTTTTCACATTTTTCTCATCCCTCCGTACTAGATATGTCCATCGGCAAAGCTGCCTTCGTCTGCGCGGGTTCCGCCCGACTGTTTTAACATGACGTCAGTTTGTGCATTTCCCTCCAGCATCTGCTCCACGTGGAACAAAGTGTTCCTGTGAAGTGAATCAGTGGAAGTGTTCCTGTGAAGTGAGTCAGTGGTACAGTGGTACCACTGACAGTGAGTCAGTGGTAGTCAGTGGTACTTTCGCTTATTTCTCGTCACCACCTCGTTTCGCCTTTGCAAATATATCATTTTGTACATACCTATGGAGTGCTTCAAGGGTAAAAAGCACCTCTAGTTTGGTGGCAGATCAACGACGCCTCAGTCACTCACATGCGGCTACTCGCGTCTACTGTGCAGGCACTATAACGGAGGCCACGACGTTGCGTAGTTTTCAACGATATACTGTGAAGGTCGGTAACAAATCCAGCCGCCGTCTGCTAGGTGTCTGATGACCCGGCTGTGCTGAGGTCAGCGACCTTCCGGCGCAGCCCGTCAATCTCGCCGCGATTCGGCTACGGTTCGGACGGCGGTGTGGTCCGTTCCGCTTGCTGATCTACGAAACTCCGTTTGCCGATCCGCCGAAGCCCGGTCCGTGTGCGCACTGGACGCAGACAGCGCTTATTAAGCTGGTGTAAAACGTGGTCTGTCGAGTCGTTCGGCGGGTGCCCCGGTTGCCTGCAGTGGTTTGCTGATGGCTGTCAGTACAGCTAAATACGCGTTATACTCCAGGTTTTCACTCTTTTCACGTGTTTTGTTGCGTTGCTCGCCCGTTTTCACGTGTTTTGTTGCGTTGCTCGCCCGTTTTCACATATTTTGTTGCGTTGCTCGCCCGTTTTCCTGTCACGCGTTCGGTCACATCCGCCGTCTCGTGATCTATCAGGATTCCAAAGCCAGTGAAGTACAAGCTATTAGCACCGGCTGCCAATATGCGGCAAGTGCGGTCACGTGGCTGACGCTTGGTGCGCACGTGCGTGCAATACCCAGGAATGTCTGGCTTACGGCACGCGGCCTAATCTACCGGTGGGGAAGAGCACGGCGCCGCCGGTGGGGCGAGAGAGGTGGTTCTCAAACCATGTCGAAATGTAACAATGCGCCTGTTCTGTTGCACGAAAATTATAGAGTAGACCTTAAGTACCACGAGTTCAAAGTCAGTTCTTATGTTGAGCTAACGACCGAACGATACACCAGGAGGAGTGATTTAACAACGTTGCGCGGTCATTCAGTATAAATGCAATATATTAATGCTATTTTACGCTACAACACACTTCACGCGCTATGAAGTGCGTTGTAGTTCCGCTCCGCAGCTGAGTCCATTTAAGTGTTAGTAAGCAGTGCAATGTCGTTTAACTGCTATCTCCTGGTATAGTGAAGGTCGAAAAACCAGGATCCGAAGGCCTGTTTTTCTTATGCGAAGGACCTGAGGAACTCCCTGTCTCTTTCAGCCCTCCTTTCGCCCCCACCCCTCCCCCGCCCAAACCGCGACCGGTAGCTCCGCTCATGTAAAAAACATCCAGTTGGCATCTCCACGAGGAATCTAGCTGTTGATATTTTTGTTGAAGATTCTTTTCACCCACTCTTTGAATCTTCGAGGACAACGACCGGCTAAAGTAATAGTGGGTAGCATTGGGCCCGATGAGTAATAATGATTTGGGACTTGCGGATCACCGAATACCATGGCCATTTCGAGAGACTACTTTCGTGTTCAGCATGGGTGCTAGAATTGGTGCATAATTTATTCATCACCAGAGGTAGGAGACAGTGTAACCGATCGAAAACATTGACCAAAAGTATCTATTGCCAGATTGCATGTTGCTCGGCTCAAAACCACGGAGATGTCAAAAAACTGATTTAACGTTAATGACAGCAACCACGCGCACATTCTCCTATTCCAGACTCGGCGAGCGGCGACGCCAGTGACGACGAGTACGAAGAACCGTCACCAGATGGCAACAGCTGCCTTTCTGCTCTGGTGATTGTGGCGCTGCTGGGCGGCGTCGGTCTCCTCTTTGGCATGATTTCGTTACAAAGTGGCGCGCTGGAAGGTAAGGAATACTTACGGCGCTCCTTTTTGTTTTCCGTACTCTTTCCGATGGGCGTAGAATAACGCGTTATGCAATTTCCGGTCGTCGTGGGGAACGGCGGGTTCCGTGGCTCCGCGTTTTCGGTGCTTCATGTTCATGTTCTCTTGTTGTTTGTTGTTCAGTCAGATGCAGTCTTTATTTCGTGCGTGCCCTTCGGGACAGTGGCGCAGCCACAATTTCGCTCAGGAGGGAGTGGGGTCGAGACGTGGGACCGTTTCAGCCAAAGGGACACATTTCGTCGCTACAATGGCCGTACTTTGTATCGGTATTTGTATAAACACTGGCGTAGGGCAATCCTCGCGAACACGTGAATATTACTGCCCGGAGTCATGGCTATCAGGCTGAGGCGTACGCTCAGCCATTCGTGCAAATCTTAATTCACGAATACAGGATAAGGCAAAAATACAATACATTTAAGACGATCGTAGAGCATACATTCAGACCCGACCGTCAGCCAGCAGCTGTCGCTTGACAGCCCGGGCGAAGCACTGACTGGACTGAGACTTGACCTCGTCTGCCGGCCAGTTGTAAGTGGCCGAGGCACGGAACCCAAACCGTCCTCTCCCGGTCTCGGTCCTCAGCATAGGGAGGTGCAGCAGCCTGCCCTGCCGGACCACCTCTTTTTGGGTTCAGGGAATCCTTTTATACTTGTGATCTCATTTTGATGCATCGAGGGCTTGTGCTTGCATTTTGGTAGCCCTGCGACCAACTGGAGCAGAAAAACAACCTTCGGCACCTCCACGGTGATATTGCCCCCCAAAGCCCCCCCCCCGTTGGCTACGCCTCCGCTTGGAAGCGGAAATAAGGACCTTCGTCAGCTAGGCGGTGTATGGATGGGTGGAAATTATACTAAACATCTGTACGTCTGCGTGCGGCCAACTGTGCCGCCGTGGATGTGACAGAGTTTAACTACGCCAGTAGGCTGTGGCTGCAGCCGGCGCCGCTCCGTCGCGTCGTACGTGCGGTGGCGTCCACCGCGGTCACCGACCCCGCTCAATTCCGCCGCGGCACCCACCCAGCGTCGCCCCGCCGTCGACCGTCGCCGCTTCCGCTGTCGACAGGGTCAGCGCCGTTGCCGCCGGGGCCGTCCGCCCGCCAGGCGCAGGTGGTCCTCGAGCACGGAGACGACTCTACCTCGCAGCCGCCGCCAGTCCCCGTAAGGCGCTCCGCGAGGAGATGGTGGCCCGCGGGGAGATGGTGGCCCGCGGGGAGATGGTGACCTGCGGGGAGATGGTGGCCAGCGGGGAGATGGTGGCCCGCGGGGAGATGGTGGCCCGCGGGAAGATGGTGGCCCGCGGGGAGATGGTGACCTGCGGGGAGATGGTGGCCCGCGGGAGATGGTGGTCCGCGGAGAGATAGCGGCCCGCGGGGAGATGGTGACTCGCGGGGAGATGGTGGCCAGCGGGGAGATGATGACCTGCGGGGAGATGGTGGCCCGCGGGGAGATGGTGGTCCGCGGAGAGATGGTGGCCCGCGGGGAGATGGTGACCCGCGGGGAGAGCATCGCCCGCACTCAGGCACCTGTGGAGCGGTCCCGGATCAGCCGCACTGACCTGTGTGACAAATCTGGCTCACCGCACGTCTCTCTTTGGCTGGACGGTCCCTCGCGGGGCTTGCTTGTATTTTGTGCGAAATTGTTTGCGCTTGATGAGCTTGAGCGTGCTTCGTTACCTGATTGAAATGTGTGAAGCCGCCATCGTGGCTGTCCCTGCGGCCTGTATCACGATTTGAAGACCCTTTATTGCAACTTCCTCGCTACTGGTCGTAGTAGTTCTGCTGCTGGTGCCATCTAGTGATTCCGCTAGCTGGCGTCACCTGTGGACGTTAGCATGGCTCGCTGGAGCTGGGCTTGATGTCCGCGTGTTTTACCGGCAGCCATTATTCTGGCGCCTCCAGCATTATGGCCCGGTAGTGCATCACAAAGCCGTGCTTTCAAGTCTGTGTCTTTGGCAGCGTGACTTCTTCTGATGTTAGTTAATAGCGTCCATGACGTCCTGTTCAGTGACGTCACCTGAGGAGCCGCCTGGCGGATGCCTGCGGTGCCGCACCAACCGGGGAGTCGCCTAACCTCACGTAACCGCCTTACCTCAGTGGCGCCTCACTAACGGCAGCTGTGTCCGCAGGCGGACGGCGGCCCGGCACCGCCCGAGAGCTCGGCGTCGGCTGTCTCCTCCTCCGAGTCCGGGACAGGCTGAGCCGGCGGCGCCCGGCGGGCCGGCACCGGACGCCGCGGGCGGCGCCGCCTACACGGCGACCAGTGCGGAGCCGGCCGCGGCGCGCCCGCCGCCGCCGCCGCCGCCGCTGCCGGAGCAGATGGGGCCGTTCCAGCTGGAGGGCTCCGAGCCGACGGTGGCCGAGGCTGAGCAGCAAGCAGGTAAACCCCCGAGTCGCCGCGCAGGTCACCGCGCAGGGCAGTGCTGGCGCGCTGTGATGGGGCAGGGCCTGGAGTTGGGCCTATTCTGGCAAGAAGGTACTCGGGCTAAAAGAGCAGCTTGCTCCTTTTATTCCTTTTCTGTGGTTTTCGGTCTGATTGTGGTTTTGTATTTATATTCACTTATTGGCGTTTTTAAGCCAAAGTTCCGAAATTTTGTCCTCGATGACAGTGTGTGTTGAGGGTTACATCCCCTTCTTGAGTAGTATGTTGTCCCTACTCTGAGGTATACATTCAGCGTCGCTAGCCGTTGAGGGATGTAGGAAGACGTGAAGGCGGCGGCCAGCCCTCTGACGCCATCTCACTTGCGATGGTGCCATCTCACTCTGAATCCATCTCTCTTGCGCCACCTAACCCCGCGCTACGCAGCCCGCGCAGCAGGTGGAGCAGAAGCAGGTGCGCGTGCGGCAGCTGGTGCGGCAGCACACGCACGCCGACGGCAGCATCACAGAGGAGATCATCTCCGAGCAGATACTGCAGGTGAGGGATGTGTCGCGTCGGACGGCGCCCCCTCCCCCTCCCCCTCCTCCCCTTGGACGTGTACCGCAAACAAGCCATCGCCAGAGGGCATCGGCTGCGCTTTGCGAAGCGGCTGCGTCAGAGTCGAGGGTGCATAGACGGGTGTGCAGGCAGTAGAATATCTGTTATTCTCGAGCCCTGATTGAGCGGAGTCTGGTCGAATATGAGATGCGTGAATTTGTACCGTCCTTGGCGTGCAGAAACAACCACGGTGTGTGACGCCGTGGCTTATATCATGATTGAAGGACACATACTTTGGTTTTGTCTGACAGTCCCGTGTCATTTTGGCTAGAGACATGTAGGTTTTCAGGCGGTGGAGTCACGTATGCCAGTGCCGAAGCGTTCACAGCGTAGCCACGCACGCCAATCAATGAACAGCTATGCATCATGCCAGTGCGGAAACTCTGTTTAAAGGTGGTGTTGGACTAAGGGCTACGGCTCTGTTGATATGTATTCATATATATATATATATATATATATATATATATATATATATATATATATATATATTCACGCCACTGCGGGCGGGTCGACAATTTGTACGTGGAATGACAGTCAGACTGTTGGTCGGACATGCTTCCTTACATTGATCAACGTTGCCGACAAGCTGCGTATATTTTGCAGGAAGGAGACGAGGGCTACGATCAGCTGGGGAAAGGTAGGTACCATGAGGCTTCATATTTGGTTTAAATGCCCCCGGCGGGATCGCTGAAAGTGAATGAGATTTGGTAACAAAAGTGTCACCACCGGTGCGGATTGGGGCCCATGGCTCTTGCTGGGGAATCTGGGGAATCTGTGGGATCTGGGGAATCTGGGGAATATGGGGAATCTGGGGAATCGCAGCGTTGACACCTCCCGCACCCATGCCCATGCATGCACTATGTATTGACATGCAAACGCTGCAGATATGAGGTAACACACTGCGCATGGTGTCAGTTTACGTTGTACCTTAGCTCTTTGGAATTTACTAAACATTAGTTCAGCTTTATTGGCACTGTAGCGTTAAGCATGCCCACATAGAGGATTTGGCTCACTGCCAGGCTGTCGCAGCACGCTCCGAACGTATTGCTATCGAGAATTTTTGTTCACACACGGGCTTTAGAAGGTTAAGGGGCAGTACACAAGGCGCCATGAATCCCGCTTTTGCAGAACTTCAACGTTCACGCCATGTTTTTGCATGCCGAGAGAGGATCTGAAAACGGGCTCGCCCCTTTTGACGTTCGTAAGTTCCGCCACTGCGCAGAAACGAGACGAAACGAAACCAGGCCAACTGATTGGTCGCCTGACCGGGTGGGCGGCGCCTTTCAGAGCCCGTGGTGGTGTCTGAGGACGTACAGATGACGACCGCCGGCGGGTAGAGGGTACCTCTCGGACCGTGGCGGACCACGGCGGACCGCGTGGACCAGGCGGCGAGCCGGACCGCCGCCCGGCTGAGACCACGTGTGCCGGGAGACGGGTCAGCTGCCGGTGAGGTGTCAGTGACCGTCCTCAGCCTGCGCGGCCGCCCTGCGGCAGCCCGAGAGTAGCCGCGGATCGTGCGGCACCCGAGTGGATTGCCGTGATCTCTGCCAGGCGTGGGCCGACTCGGCTCGCGCTGCTGCCAAAGCGTTTGCGACGGAACTTGGGAACGCGTGACGCCGGGAGCTTACGGCTGGCGGCTGGCTGCACGCTCGGAGGCCATCGTCAGCGATCCCATGAGCGGTGCGTTAGTGTGACGGGCTGCCTCGCCTTGCAGACGCCTTGTGACATTTCCCAGAGACGATTTACTGAGGCGCTTTGACGATGTTGCGTGACTATGCAATTCGGAAAACGTTCTCTTATTTCATCGTAATATGTTTCGTACTTTGATTGCGTCGGTCTCAAAACGCAAAACGACCGCGAGGTTGGTGGGTTGAGAACCGGCGCGGCTCGCGCTGGTTATGTTATCTTTGTCAGATTATCTGTTCATGCGTCTTGCAATATGACAGAACAGGGTATAGGGTACCGGAACACGTGAACGAAATATATCGTCCGCCATTCGTCACCGATGCGTATTTGTCTGCGAAGCTGCAGATCCAGAACTGTGAACTGCACCGTTTGCAAACAGAACCGCCAGTCCGCGAAATTGTGCACACTGATTTGATGCGTTTCCGTTTGCCATATTTACGGATTGAGGGTATGTATCCTATCGAAACGATGATTAAAGTATCGGTTTAAAGTGTGTGAATGACTTCTGCAGCCGACAGTGGAGACTCGCTGGACTTTGGGTAATACCAATGCGCCGGTAATCTCGTTAAGATACTGATTTGATCCTCGCACTCAGTCAAACACATTTATTCCGCTATATTGCGCGGCAGTATTTTATCCTGCATAGCTCCACTTCGGACAGGGAAACATTGCATATATATCTATCGCGTTCGGGAAGTATATTTACACTATTCACAACAGGACAGCGGAAAAGAACAGGCGTCAAATTTACAAGCTTTCCTTCCCCCACTCGTCACATCCGGAACAGAAATAAAAAGTGATTCACTCTTAGCAGCACCGGACACCCAAAGTCACCAGCTAATTCCCATGGAAACCATCACTGACACGAACAGCGATTCGGAAACAGGTCAGAGGGTGCCGCAGCACACAGAAAACGCACCGTTGAGCTTGAAAACAGTCCATCCACGCAGACCATACGCGACATTTACCGACTTCACAGTCACTCCGTGTCTTCCTGCTGCACCCGCGGGTGTAAATGTGCCCCAAATCGTAAGTCGAAGACGTTTTACACTCATTTGTGCTTGTAAACACGAGCAAAATGATTTCAGCTAATGGACGCCATCAATTTTGAGAATGTGTCGTAAGACACGTGTCGTATTTGTCTAGAAGAACCCTCCCAGTTACCTGTTTTGCATCTCATACTGTGAGACGACGAACGACATTTCTTCCTGATAGACACCCACAGCCTACGCACTTTGGGGCGACGGTGCACCGAGGAGCCCCTCTCTTTACAGGGGCGCGGCCTCTGTGCCCTCACCACCGCACGGATGCACGGACGGTTCAGAGTGACCACATCGTCCATCTATCCTCTGAAAGACGGCATGTGTCTGTACAATTAAATACGCTCCGGGTATGTACATGCGGGCGGCAACGCGGGCTGTGCTTCACTCCTGCCCTTGAGATGCGCGGTAACTCTGTTCTTTACTAGCTCCTCGTGACTTTAGGTTGATGAGGTTTTAGGTAAGCTGATGGAGTTTTTATGTTTGGCAAAAGCAGCCATAAAAGCTCGTAAGCTTAATCTGACGGATGTATGGCTATGCGGACGCCAAACGACGAACCAAATTTCGTTTCGGCCTGGTGATAACGTCCATGAATTAGGCCTATCACAATGACTTCAGTTCGGAAAGGCCGCTTTAGGAACGGCACACTCAACTCTAAGCGTCATAAAAGAGAACAAACTGAACGTCCAAAACTCTGCAAAAACCATGCTAGCAAACACCTTTACTGTTTCGTTGAAAGCAAGTTACCATAGCTTTAGATGGTTCATATCTCAGCTGAACCCATCGTAGGCTGTTTACCACCTACCGACGCCGGCGGCTGGGGCAACGTAAAGGAGAAAGAAACTCAGACTAGTCCAATCGTGCTTCGTTCCTGTGCCGTAACATTTGAGTCCTCTGTATCGATGCTATCCCCCCCCCCCTCCCCCCTCCCCCACCTCCGCCGACTTAGACACCTCCGCACGATCACTCGTGCCTCCTCCAGAACTGAGCCTCGCTCGGGTCGACCCCAACAGCTAGATCGGCACAGCCGGGCCCGTCGCGTGAGAACGCACCGCTCCGGCCTGCCGGCAGCGGCAGCGCGTGACCCGCGACTCCTACGGTCTTGCCGGGGGGGCCTGCCGCGACGGCCGCCGCCCCGGCCGGTCTACTTCCGCTGGTGCACGCCGGCGCCGGCTACGTCCCTCCAGAGCGAGAGGTCCAGCCGCGGCAGGGTGGCGCACGAGACCACCGGGTTACTGGAACGACAGAGCGGGGGGGGGGGGGGGCGTGTCACACGCGCATGCGCACTGGGCAACGGCGCTCATATGAAACTGGTGAAATCCAGACCGCATCGAATTTCGGTGCCTATTCTTATGTGATCAGGAAGGGTAGTGGGAACTTTTTCTTCGTTGTTTCTTCTGTTGCCTTCCTGTCGTGGACGTTTTTGCTCACTTCGCGAATGACAGCCGACATTAACTGCCTTGATCCACTCGGTTACGTTGCGTGGACACTACCAGATCCATCTCCAGCCAGCGCTCACGGGCTCGTCGAGTGAAGCCCGATAAGATACACAAACCTGCCGCCGGTACTCGCATATCGGTATCGGGGAGCACCATCAGGTACACCTGCGGCTTCTCGATCCTGTCTGAGTTCTGGACGCGGGAAGCCCGGTAAGATACACAAACCTGCTGCCGGCACTCACATCTTGGGGTCGGGGAGCACCATCAGGTACACCTGCAGCTTCTCGATGCCGTCCGAGTTGTCGCAGATGATGTTACTCAGCTTCACCTGATGAATTGCGTCAATTTGTTCTGCAAAAGAGCGCAGGCGTCAGCACCACGAGTTTGGGATTGGCGTGCCAGTGTGCTGTGCTGCAGTACAATCACGGACCCAACTAATGGCGGCACCGAAGTACCGAACAAAGCGGCTGAAAGAACCGCGACTTGTACTGCCGGGTTGCATAGCGGGAACAGGCCGTCATACGAGAAACAAGACGAGAGTACCAGTGCCGAAAGAGAAACAAGAATGCCAGACGAGAAACGAGGGAAGAGTCGGACGGACCAAGGTGCGTGCGTTACGTTCTCCGGTTATCTTCAGTAACCAATTATAACTGGCGTGAGAGAATGTCACGCTGCTATCGGTAACAGCATACGCGTTATCGGAACACCTCTTAGCTGACACGGCGCCTCGCGAGAGATCAAAACAGCCCAGCCTTCTCCCCGCCTCAGCCCCGCAGCCGAAGCTGTCACCGGCGGGCCGCTCTGGCGCTGCCCCCCCCCCCCCCCCTCCCCTTCGCCTGCGGGCCGGGCGTTGTTGTACCCGGCGTGAAGGAGCTGGGCAAGCCCTGGTTCTCAAACCAGAAGCGGTCGCCCTCCTTCAGCACGCGGAACTGCTCGGCGATGAGGCAGGCCAGCGTGGGGCCGACCATGGAGCCATCCAGCGGCTTCTCGGAGACGACGCCAGACCAGAGGTCCATGTCGTCCGGGTGCCTGTCGGTGGAGGGCACGTCACCACGGCTGGCGCGACTGCCGCGCGCTGGCGGACAGGCCGGGTACTACCGACGCTGTCAGGTGGCGGACAGAGCGTGTCACAGGCTGCCGAGAGCTGCCAGGGGATCGGACATGTTGTTGAAGAGAACAAAGGGCTGTTTTCAGAGGCAAGTACATGGTGTCGAACGGTTCCATGGGCTCTTTCCAGAGGTTAGTGTGCGTCTTCGAAGAGCACAAAGGGTTGTTTCGATAGGCTAGTACGCGTTGTTGGACGGTACCAAGGGCTGCCAGGTGCTGCCCTGCCGCCCAGATTGGGCGCCAGCGCGACCATCATTAGACCTGGACGGCGGCGGAACACTGACAAGTTCTCTCAGCCGTGATGGGTGGTAGAAATAGACGGCCGAAGGCAGGAAACTGGCATAGAATGTGAAATGTGGAATGGAATGTGGGATGGAATTGAGTGTGGATTAGCGAGCACGCGCGCTGGTGAGACCTGTCGGAAGTTCCGGCTCCACCAGCGTTTAGCGTGTCAGGTCCTCATGCACCGGAACACGAACGGCCATCGCGCCACCCAGCACACACGCACCGTCGAGGCCGCCCGCCAGGTCCTCTCACCCGTAAACGTCGCTGTAGGCGGAGGCCGTGTTGTTGCTCATGACGGTATTCAGCTCGAAGAAGTCGGTGACGCGCGGCAGGCCGCAGAACTCGCGGAAGCCGTTGTAGCTGGGCAGGCCGTGCTCGCGGCCTCGCTGCATGTTGATCGCCGCTAGATCCATTCCGAACCGGTGCTCGGGCATTTGGAACAGGTGGTTCGTGACCTGTCGACGTACGGTGGCACGGGCTAGGGCTGGGCCGACGAAGTTAACGGTGGTGGAACGCCTGAACGCATCACATGAATGCGATCGCAATAACGTTTACTGAAGTGATTAAATGCATTATAAAGATAGACTCTTACTCTTAGGGGATATCTAAGGTTGCAACGTAAGTTATTAACGTTCATCGTATATGTCATATCGGCTGTTTTTATCTGAGTCTCAAACGGACTTTATCCGACCCGAACAGTCGGAAATACGCAAAATATATCATTTACATAATGCCCTGCTCCGTACGCCAACATGAATCGTAACTTCAAGGGCTTTGGTCCATCTTTGAAAATGGTTTCAATTAGTTTATTTTTCTACCATCCGTATTCGTTCGACTCAAAATACGAGAAATAAAATAGGTTGAAAGCTTTTTGGAATCAGGGTAATTCCGCAAACAAAACTATGCATGAATTAATTAAAATTATCACCAAATCACATCCACACACGTGACTCAGTAATTATTGTGCATCCGGCATGCTGGCACAATTCCGACAGGTTTTTGTGCAACCTCGCCCCACAACAGCCGACGGACGTCTTGCAGCGCCACATCGCTCTGTTTGGTTTTTGCCATGGGTGGGTTGAGAGCCATGTTTTCCATCAGTGACACAGAGAGCGGGTCAGCTTCCCTTCCGCCTGACAAAAGGCCCGCCGGTCCCACAGCGCCACGCGCTGCCCGATGAATGGCCGGTACATTTTGCGAGGGGCCAGGCCGGTTCTTGTCCATGGCTGGAACCGGCCCGACCTGCTCCGCGTTCATACAGCCGTGCTCGTGAAACCGCGCGACGCGCCGTCGCTCGGGGAACAGCCTCGCGACGCTGCTCTTACGTCCTGCTGGTGACGTCACCTGACGCCCTGCCCCCTCTGACGTCGCACCCGCCTGTCACCCTCGGCGCGGCACTCACCTCCTGCGTGACGGCGTCGTCCATGGCCTGCGCGAGCTGGTTGATGAGGCCCATGGTGTACTGGTCCACGAAGCCGCCCTTGTACATGTCGTACGGTTGACGGAGCAGCTCGCTCAACCGGCGGGCGTCTGACGTCACGGTCAGGGGTCAGAGGGTCAGGGGTCAGGGGGTCAGGGGGTCAGGAGCGGGTCACAGTTGTCATGCACGGATGACGTACGGTACACGGCAGCCTGTTATAGTACATGAGTGACTGGCTGTGTAGCTCGGTGGAAGAAATGTCCCAGCCAACTGCAGATGGCTGGGTATTCTCGGGTCACGGGCCCTGTCATGCGCATGCGCACCGGGCGTAGAGCGAAAGGCACGACGCACGCGCGGATCCGGCGGTTTGAGAATCACAAACTGAGCTGCGCGCCAGCGGCGGCAGGTGACCAAGGCTTTGGCAAGAGGATGAGGCCATCAGGGGGCCATTCAGGCATTTAGGAGACCACCAGGGTTAGCAGATGGTAACTCAAATCGTCATTAGGTGACTGGACTTGAACGGCGGCCATTTCATCCGTTGCCCTTCACTCACTACACGGTCCTGTCAGATCAATGATAGGGCAGGTCAATTATAAGTCGTGTCAGAGACACGATCTGTGGTAGGTAGGCTGCAAGATAACAAACGATCGTCGCGAACGAAAGCCGTGCACGTCAGCACGCGCTGTGACAGCACTTCCACCGTCACGGTCCGGGCAGCGCCGGCGACCTTCGTGCAGTAACCGTTATGTCACTCGCGCGGTCCACCTGGCGCATTAGCAAGTGCACGCAATAGCGCCATTGACGTTCCGCTAGCGAATCGAGCAGGATACGCCTTCCAGAATGCGCCGTTTTCAATCTGTTCCTTCTGCCTGTGTCTGACTGTGTGGTTTACGAGTGAGACCTGTGGTTAAGCGGACATAACCACGCGGGTGTTTGCATACTTGCGGCGACGGCGTTACTGAAAGCGTGAAGAGACATTACGACATTGGTTATGCGGAGGCGATGAGGCGAGCGAGGGAGATGAAAAAAAGAAAGCAAGCGGCAAGAGGATGAGAAAAGGAGGAGCGGAGCAAAGGAGATGAGAGGCAAAGAGGGAGATGGGACGACCGGAAAAGAGAAGAGAGAAGCAGAGGAAGGAGGACAGAAGAGACAGGGAGTGAGAAACGGAGAGAGAGAGAGAGAGAGAGAGAGAGAGAGAGAGAGAGAGAGAGAGAGAGAGAGAGAGAGAGAGAGAGAGAGAGAGAGAGAGAGAGAGAGAGAGAGAGAGAGAGAGAGAGAGAGAGAGGGGAAGAGAGGAAAGGAGGGGAGAGGACATCGTAGCGCAACACAGCCGTAATAGCCTAGCCTTCAGTACAACGCGGTCCGCCATTGGTCGCTCCATTTCTCGCCAGTCTCACCGATATATTTGCCGGAAGTAGACCACCTCTCGATGGTGGACGGCAGGAGGGAGTGGCCGAACCGGAAGGCCGCCGTCGAGAAGGAGTTGGACGTGCTGGCGTCCAGAGTGGGGCTGTACTTGTGACCCTTTGAGCCCTGTGGCAGAGGCGAGCGTCATCAGGAGAGCCTCGCAGACTCCTGACGCTTCAGACCGCCTCCTGACTGCGGAGACTCCTCTAACGGAGGCTGACACACAGAGACTTGGCTGACCAGGACTTCCTATGGAGCAAGTTTGGAATGGGACTGTTCCATACGAGTCTATTGTGTCATAGTCATGGAGCTGGGTGGAAACGTCGTGTTTTTAATTGTGATGGTCTATGGAACAATGAGTTTCTTGTAACCCGGGTATCTAAACTGGCCTCGAGCGTCCATTTTAAACACGAGCGGTGCAAACATGCGTGGGAATCAACGATCAGCTAAATGAGAACTATTTAGATGTGAAGAAGAAACCGGCCCTTGTTGTACAATTAACTCATAGATGATTTGTTGCTAGGCCCAGTCCCTTCAAGGCATTTAGTGCAGGCGACTGCGGCTTTTTTTGTTCGGTCGCAGTTTCGACTTGCAGGCGATGTTAAGCAGAAATCCACACGATGCCGCACAAAAACACATACACGAGGAAAATATTTCGCAAACAACATATGGAAGAAGCGAACTGATACCACAACCAGTTAATGGAACGAATTGTGGCTTTGCTGAGTACGCTACTGCCGTGCGTAAGATGAGAAGAGCTCAACATGCTCTGTCTTCCACCCACCCGTGACCGCTTTTTATGAAGGAAACGCGACGGACAATGTCACGCGTCATGCTACTGGGTGCAAACAATTGTATAGGCCATATTAACATTCAAGGGCCATGGCTCAACCGGGGTTCGAACCCGGGCTCCTTGTGGGAACCGAAGGCGGTAGCCTTTGGCCATTACACCCCCGCCCATACGTGGCCCACAGCTTCCGCTTCCGCAGCCGCAAGGCCTACAGACACACCGCATGCGAGCGCTTTCCCGCACTTACCCTGCCAACGACCAAGTTCTCCTTGGTCATGACGTCCTTTCCCAGCACCATGGGCAGGAACTCGTTGTAGGTGATCTGCTGCACCACGGCGCCGATGATCAGGCGCGTTTCCTGCGAACACGGTCGGCGCCTCCGTCAGCGCGCTGACGCCCTCCGCAGCGCCTGACGCCACGGCGCCACACAGCCGCGGTCGCACGGCCGCGGGCCAGCACGGGCAGCTCTGCTGTGACCGCCGCGGTGACCGGCGCCACACACCTGGTAGATGGTCTCGTCGTCCCAGTGTGGGTTCAGGTGGCTGAGCTCGACGGCAATCCGGTTGTGCTCGCGCATCAGGTACGTCTGCAGGGTGGCCAGCACCAGCTGTTCGTTGACCCGGTTGTCGCCTGCGGGCAAAGGTGTGGTCAGCTTTCGGCGAGCGATGGACAGATGATGGTTGCGTCGTCGGCGTCGCGCAAAGTGTGGCTTAGGTCGGCTTCTCATGATGTGCATCGTTCTTAGTTTAACGGTGCGCGCTGATGGTAGCCGGCTTAACAGCAAAAAAAAAACTTTCAACGGAAGCGCTTTAAAAGAAACGCTTAACTATTTTTAATTCCGGTTGCGAGAAATTACTGGGAAGATTTTGACATTATTTTGTATACGTCCTCTGAAAACAGCTGTGATCTGAAAGAAGGCTCTCATTTGAATTAGGGTTTGGAAATTATTTCGTATTGCTCTCGCTGTCATTGTAAAACATAGAATGCAGGGCTGCTCGCATGCGATCTTTTGTCGATAACATCCAAACCCACCATACAGAAAAAGAACATCCAAGCGCTAACAGTAGCAAGCAGCAAGTACATGAAGAACGTCACACCAATAACCCTGCGTTACTTCTTTTACCACTCGGGTATGCATGCATTACAAAGTGCAGCGCCCTAACCAAGTGTCAATCAAAGTCACTTTCTAGTCCAGCCACGACCATCACGCCCAGCGGCCCGACCCCGGACCGGTCGGGCGGCGTCCCTCACCGGCGTCGAAGCAGAAGATGTCGCGCGACGGCCGGATGCAGCCTTCGTCGGGCGCGTGCAGGTTGGGCGGCAGCAGGTCCTTGAGGCCGATCTCGCGGAACACCGGCAGCGTCTTGAGCAGGCCGCCCTGGTACGAGCGCATGCGCCGCTCCGTCTCCAGGTCCGAGCCGTACACGAACGACGCGTCCAGGTATGACGTCACCTGGTTGATCGGGTCACGTGGGCCTGCCGGTGCGCCGTGACGTCATCGACCTGGGGTCGTGGGCTCTTGCCAGCAGACTGACTCGCATGGGAAGCGGGTGGGGGAGTCGGTGGGTCATTTTTCGGCGCAGGTGTATTCTTTCTGTTAAAAATTATGTGTGGGCCAGTGTTTCGGTGCAATGTCGTGACGGCCGGCAGTCGATCGGCAGCGAAACGTTTTCGGGGTGGAGGGAGGGGGCGTGTTTGACGCACCTTTGTGACTCTTCGAAAACGTTGCTGGTCGTGAGTTTAGGTATCATCGCGAGTCAAAACACTCACACTTTTGTCTTCGGGCCCGTTGGATACCTTGGCACAAAACGACCGCGATAGCCATCCCGCCGTCGCAAATGTTACACTCAGCCTACGAAATGCCACAGGTATGTCTGGCATGTCTGGTATGTCTGTCACAGGTATGTCTGGGAGCCGTGGCATGAACCCTGCTCATCTGACATTGCTTCCTGTATTCCGATCGTCACGACCGCTCTCGCGTCGAACGCAGCACAAGGCTGCCGCCTGCCGTGCAATTTCTCATCATTCGCCAGCCAAGGCCGGGGCACAGCCCCGTCTGACGACCCGCTGCCCCCATTGGGAACAGTGACGTCACGGCGCCTGGAGGTCACCAAAAACCGGCCCGGGGCAGACATCGAGGTCGCCAGACAGGCAGCGGAACGAGAACAGCGCGCGGAACGATCAAGGAAGCAACAAACCAGGCAATATCGCGATGGCCTATATTCGGCAAGGTCGTGACAAACGGGGGAGCGAAATGTTTTCGCTGTTCACGGTCTTTACATGATAGTCTAATCTTTTGGTGTATAATGCATAAGGACCACCGGCGAAGTGTAGTAAGAAAAAGCCCTTTAGTGATGGGGTTACCCATGCAATCACTGACTCCTCACAGCCTGTGGAGTGAAGCTGAAACACGACTGGTCGTGGCAGTGGTGCAGAGGTGTGCTTCCCCGAAAAAAAATGCGGGAGTGGGCTTTTCTGTCTGTGCTTGTCCACGCGAAGTGATAGAAATTACTCAGAGCAGCCTTCCTCTCAACTTTTGTTCACAATTTTTCGCGATGTTTAAAGGCAACCGTCATGATACACCGTGAGATGCTGCGTGACTTACCGAGCGACTCCCTGCCAGGAGAGACCCTCCTGCCCGACAAGCGCCGCTCTTACCCACCGCCGGGCTCCGTGACTCACCGAGCTTGCACATGTGGTGCACGCCTGGCAGTGAGCGGATGACGTTCATGCACTTTTGGCCGTACAGGGCGTAGAACTCGTCACTGTCGGGGATCTGGATCGGGAAGCAGAGCGGGTTGTCCGCTTGCCGCCGGTCGTTGCAGCAGTCCGGCATCTTGGGCCGGCCGTTCTTGTCTGAGGGCAGGTGCGGGCCGGGTCAGCCCCGTCGGACGGCAGACGGCGTGAGCCGGCTGTAGGCCCGCGCTGACGGACGGCTCTCAGTCTGCAGGTCAGCTGAGTTCCCAGGTCAGCTGAGTTCCCAGGTCAGCTGAGTTCCCAGGTCAGCTGAGTTCCCAGGTCAGCTGAGTTCCCAGGTCAGCTGAGTTCCCAGGTCAGCTGAGTGCCCAGGTCAGCTGAGTGCCCAGGTCAGCTGAGTCCCCAGGTCAGCTGAGTTCCCAGGTCAGCTGAGTTCCCAGGTCAGCTGAGCTCCCAGGTCAGCTGAGTTCCCGGGTCAGCTGAGTTCCCAGGTCAGCTGAGTTCCCAGGTCAGCTGAGTTCCCAGGTCAGCTGAGTTCCCAGGTCAGCTGAGTGCCCAGGTCAGCTGAGTTCCCGGGTCAGCTGAGTCTGTCAGCTGGATCGCAGGTCAGCCACAGCTGTGCCGTTTCCAGAGGTGCCGCGCCACCCGCCTCCAGCTATGTGACCTCAGCACCGACAAAAGCTCTGGATATTGGCGTTGGTGGAAAGTTTTACCTCGATTAAAAAGCATACTTTTCACATCGTCAATCATTCTGTATCGCTTTAAGACTGCAAATGCCACCTTCGCAAGTCCAGACAATGTCTCATCTGGAAGCATGGTCACGAACGTCGCCAACAAGAGCGGCTTACAACATTAATCCATTGTCACCTAACCCTCTTCCTGTGCCCTTCGCAAAACCAAAGTCGCAGGAACACCAAAACTTTCACACGACACCCGACACGACGAAACATAACGCGTCGAGAGGCTTCCACCCGGGGCACGTAACGCATTCACACTCGTCCAGCAATCAATTCACATGGCGTCGCCCAGAAGCATACAGGCACCGCTCAAACTCGAACCTGTCAGCCCGACAACCAGCACGCGCCCATTAACCCAGGGTGAGCGCGCGTGAAACTGCTTACCGAGCGCAACAGCAGGTCCGCCAGTCTACTCTGCGCCTTACCGAAGCTCAGTACCAGCCCGGTGTTACCTACGACCAGCTTCGGGAGAGCGTTAACAGCGACCTGTTCTGCGTCAGTCGCCTGCACTTCAGCAAGGAAAGCCGATAAGACGCACGCTTTCGAGCGGTGGTGCCGCAGGTCTTCAACATGTCGATCAATTGGGAAGAGCACAAACCTGCATGCGTTCACTGCTGCAGCCTTTCATTTGCTGGGATGTCGCGCGGCTTCGTAACAGGCAAGCAGGGATTCAGCCACGTATTACGTGGCTGAATTGAGACTTCCGGATGCATAGAGACGTTGGTTCTCACGGTTGCTGCGATTCGTGCCTTTATTTTCTTGCTTTGCCCCAAGGCGACCGGGAATAGTGCGCAAACGGTCATCGCACTTCGCTCCGTCTGTCCGGCGCGACCACAGCGCCAGGGGTAACGCTCTTGTGCTCTCCTGGGTCCGCCAAACTGAGCAGGCGGAAGTGCGCGAGCGCCTCCCTCCGGCGGCAGCCCTGCGGTCGGCGGCGCGGGCTGACACGGTGGGTGGAGGGGGGGGGGGGGGGCTCAGGGTCAGTTACATTACCACCTCGGTCACAGGCGGCCGGCGTGGTCAGGCCCGGCAGGAAACGCAATATGCCAATCATGCCACCGAGGCTGGCCGCGCTTGTGGCCAATGCCGCCAGCACTGCGACGACTGTCGCAGCTGCCAAGGAACTGCGCGGAAAACGGGAGCGCCGCTTGGGCCGCGGTTCACGCAGCACACAAAGGAGCTCGGAGCGTGGAATGACGTCAGGAATGTCGAGGTCAAGGTGCTCTTGGCGACTGGTGCCTGCTCCGCAGCAACAAACCGTGACCCATTGGAGAGTTGGCCCCAGCTGCAAAGCACGCCAACTGAAACCAGGCACGCTGTTTCGTCAGCAGCCACCAGCGTGTATCTCCTGAATTCGCTGTCACCGGCCCGCGGGAGACGCGTGGCCAAGTGAACCCGCCACGCTTTCCGTGCTCGGATGCAGTCGGTACTTTCCGTGCTCCGATGCAATCGGTACTTTCCGTGCTCCGATGCAGTCGGGACTTTCCACGTAACTCGATCGCGAATCAGGCCGATTGCGGACGGGATGTAACAAACGGGACCGCATGTTTACGGCACATCCCCGCATCGCTAACGACGTGATCACAACACCAGCCCCGCGGTGTCTGTCCACGGCGATGACATGGCGGCACGACACCGCGGTCACCTCAGAGCGAACTGCGCTCGTTTTGCGACCGCAGGCTTGAGAGTTTGAGTTTCAGCGTCATTGCGCAGCGGATGTTTGCGCGCGTGTTTGAAAATGCGGCCTGGAAGTAAAGCTTGCCCATCGACATCGTGGGCGACATCGGAGGCGGTTGTCGCATAATGCTTGCACGCTTTCCGTCGTCTCAAAATACAGGTGACAGTATGCATGACCCAAGAATATCACAGTCGGGAGAATAGAGGTGGACAAAAAAAACATCTTGGTGCGCGAAAAGGCCATTTTAGTGACTATCTCTCACTTCTGTGGCAAACGCAGCCAGCCGCTAACAAACACCAGTTTCAGATTGGCTCTACCAACCCCATTACAAAATTATTGGCTGAGTGACTGCGCGGACCCATACATTCCATTACAAAACCCGCCTTGTTGCCTGTCATGGCACGGTTCGTGACCACTCCGTGCGCAATGCACAGGGCACCGGTTTGCACAATTGGTCAGCACGCGACACCTTGGCGAGTGAGTGCGTAAAGCGTGAGAACAAAGCGGACACTCCCGAAATAGCTGATGAAGCGAATCAGCACAGAGTTTAGGGCGTGTGCCCAGCGAACTTTCCCTTTCGTTCAGCCAGGGGTCTTGAGCACCTTTGACCGGTAATGGCGTTGGCGTAATGCCGTCTCACGACCTCAAGACGTGACAGGCTTAGACTGCACGTTACAATAGAGGGCACAGCTATCCCATGCAGATCACCCTCAGGGCTAACCTTTCACCCTACACTTTCCCACAACCATCCCCTAGTTGTCTGCGGACATTGTCTACTGGCATACATACATGCTGAGACCCCCCCCCCCCCTTAAAGCCCGTGCGCAGGGGGTCCCGGGGAGTTCCCACACCTTGTTTGGTTCCGTTTTCGTTTTTTCTTTAATATCTTCCAGCCAGTGAGCTAGTGGTGGCTTGCAAGCGTGACTGATTGGTGAAAGGCAATGAGCAGCCGAGAGACCAGGGGACCAAGTCCAAATGGAGTGTGCTCTGCGTGAAATCAGATATTCGAGCGGCAATGCCGCCGCACTCAACGCAGCCTACTGAGTCTACTGTCTAGTATCCACTGCAGTGCACTAGTCTACTGCATGACAGGCTGACCCAGCGGCGATACAAAGGCGCACCTGTCTCAGTACGCTGGTCAAGCGGTGGTGTCTGTCATGGGAAGGTCCAGAAGCAATCCAAAGGAACGTCCAGTCCCGTGCACCACCCACGCGGCTCTGTGTGTGACGGGGACAGGCAATCCAATGGAAGGCTCGCTACAAGATGCTGCTCACCATGTTCACGAGTACTGCAGACGAGCTCGCGACGCGTGAAGCACGCAGCGGCTCTTGGGGTAAGGCGACATTCTAAACCAGGCGAGTGTAAGGGAGGTTTCTAGATTCGGCTCTCCAGCTAGCGTAGCTCTAGATGACGTAACTATAGATAGTGTAACTCTAACTAGCATTACTCGTGGTAGCAAGTCTTGATACCGATGCGCCAAATTCGTCAGCGTAACAAACAAAGATGGCATTTCTTCGCTGCAATGGAAGAGATGCTTTAAAAGATCAAGCTACAAGAAGAGAAAAACAGTTACTCATCTGGCTCTCGAATGGTGGTGCTGCATCAAGTAAGCAGGTCCGACAGTTTGAAACTTTTGGCTTTTAAGGTTTACTGAGCAAGTCGTAGCGATACGCAACAACCTAACTGCCCCGGTAGATACGGAAGCTCATAAATTGAACTTGTCATGCGTACGTTGTGTTTGTCATGGCAGCCGGGGCCGAGCGGCACATTGTCGTTGAACTACAACAATTGGGGTGCGGAATGGTACAAAGGTGAAGCGTGTGCGTAGGGAGAACATGACAGTGCCGTTTAAATGCCCTTGCACCGAGTTGTGGGGAGGAAGTAAAAGCATGACATTGGTGGACTGACGAAATGGTCTCGGCATTGTTGGCACGTGTAGACGCTTATACGGGACACTTGCTGGGCGTTTGCTTGCAGAGGCTCTTCATGTGCCGGATTACGGAGTCGTTCGACTGAGCTGTGGAACGTTAGACATCACAGCTTTAAAGCAATATGCAGGGAGCATGGTTCAGCGCAAAAAGAAAATTGAGTGTGGCCAGCTGTACCTGCTGCAGTGCCACCTCATGGGTCCGTAAATTTCGTCGCAGATCGCTAAATCGACAGGGATCGCACAATGCACGTCAACCGTGTTGCAAGTGGCTAGGTTCAGCTGTACTAATAAATCCCGCAATCAGATTCGAACCAGAGTGAGTCGAATTGAGTCGGGCGCCGCAGGTGGCACGTAACACGCGTCAGCGCGACACGCCACGACGCGCCGGGACAGCCGGGGTGGCTTGACCAGGGGGCCAGATGGGGTGCACGAGCCCCGTGATCGGGGCACCGTCGGTTGCATGGCTCGATGACTGGACTTGGGGCCGCGGGGGTGAGTTCGCCGGGGCTGGCAGGCGTGGCCACGGCGTGACCACAGCCGTTTAGCCTACATTCCGGCGTCTGGGCGTGGTCCAGGCGCCGCTCACGACTGCCTTTCTGCACGCTCACAGCCGGAGAGAGATGGTCTGACTTCAGGGCCAGCGGTGCTTCGAAGCCCATCTGGTGGCAGTGCATGGCACGGGAGGGAGAAATCGGAAGGGCGTGAAAATGAGTTCACCGACCAGTGAACGGACGTCGACTGTCGCCCCACCTTCGTGGGTATGATAGGAAGAAGCAGACTCGCGTCACCTCGAATAATATTCATCTGTCTCCGACCTGTCGTCGTGAGTCGGATTAGCTCTTCTGCCCCGCCCTCTTGCCATCGGATCGGCACCGTCGGACGAGCTTCCCCAGCGGCTCGCCATCTGTCGATGAGCCCCTGGAGTCGACGAGCCGCTGGAGCTCGTCATCTGTCGTTGGATAAACATCTGGAGCGAGATTTGTGCCAGCTCTTCACGTGCTGACGTTCGTCCTCCGGCCTCAGGTCGGTGGACTGGCCTTTCCACCCTGGCTCCAGCTCGGTAAACTGACCTCTCTCTCCCGACTTCAGCTTGGCGGCTGATATTTTACCGGTT